CATGAGAATTGATAAGGAATTGTTAAAGAACTAGCAGCTAGATGGAGAATGGGGGGGCCAGTCAGAAGACCACCTGGAGCTCGAGTTGGCACCATTGTATTTGCGGGAAGCAGCAAAGAGGTATGGGGTTGGACAAAAAGTTCATTTGTTTTTTTTCTGTAAGATGGCTTTAGTAGTGCTTAGTTGCCTTTAATTTCATTTGAAACAATTTTGTTATATTTTACTGTGATAGCTGTCATACCAGTGTACATTTAAAAAAAACAAAATTGGTGAATTTTTGTATAGCCATTTTAATATTGAAGATAGAAGAAAATGCACAACATTTTGGCATATTATGCTTTATTATTTCAAGAAAGATAAAAACACACCTGAAATGCAAAAAAAAAGTGTATAGTATATGGAAAAGGTGCTGTGATTGATCAAACATGTCAAAAGTAGTTTGCGAAGTTTCATGCTGGAGATTTCTTGCTGAACAGTGCTTCATGGTTGGGTAGACCAGTTGAAGTTGATAGCTATCAAATTGAGACATTAACTGAGAATAATCAATGTTATACCATGTGAGAGATAGCTGACATACTCAAAATATCCGAATTAATAAAGTTATTGGTGAAAATGAAAAATATGCCTTTTATTTTACGGAAAAAATCATATGGACTTTTTGGCCAATGCCATACAATGAGATACCACCTCATACCTGTCAGGATGGACAGTATCGAAACATCAACAAATAACAAGTGTGGTAAGGATGTGGAGAAAAGAGAACCCTTTTGCACTGTTGGTGGGACTTTAAATTGGTACATCCACTATGGAAAACAGTATGGAGTCCTCAAAAAAAAAAAATAGAACTACCATATGATCTAGCAATTTACTTCTGGGTATTTATCTGAACAAAATGAGAACACTAATTTGAAAAGATATGCATCCTCCCACTTTGTTTATTGCAATGTTATTTATATTAGCCAAGATATAGAATCAACCTAGGTGTCCATCAGTAGATGAATGGATAAAGAACATGTGGCACATTATACAATGGAATATTACTCAGCCATAAAAAATGAAGTCTTGCCACTTGTGACAACATGAACACACCTAGAGGTATTGTGCTAAGTGAAATGTCAGACAGAGAAAGACAAATACTGTATGGTTTCCCCTGTATGTGAAATCTAAAAAAATAAAATAATATAAATGAACAAACAAAACAGAAATAGATTCATAGAAAAAGAACAAACTGATGATTGCCAGAGGGGAAGGGGTTGGGGATGGATGTAAAGGTTAAGGGGAATAAGAGGCACGAACTCCCAGTTATAAAATAAATAGGCCACAGAGATGTAGCGTACATCATGGGGAATGTAGTCAATAATGCTGTAATAGCTTCATCCAGCGACAGTGGTCACTAAACTTAGTGTGGCGCTCACATCGTGGTGTATGTAAATGTAAGGTCACTATGCTGTATACCTGAAACTACTATAATGTATGTCCACCTTACTGTAATAAAATTTTCTTAAAAGGCTAAACACCAACTTGCCTGATTTAATAAAAATTCAGCCTGGAATCCAATTTGTAGTCCAAGATGTCTTTTTCTTGGAGCATTGGAACTTAAAGTAACACTTTAATTTTTAAGGTACTTTATAGTTTTCAAAGTGCTTTTGTTTTATTATTTCATTTCACATTGTGAAATCTTTTCTTTCACTAACTTAGAAATTTGAAGAAAACAAAGGAAAGCAGTGCAGATGAAGGCACCGCCAGGCCCTAGTGTAGCTGAACTGGAACTTAGTTTTCATTGCCAAACGGCAGCTTGCATCCTCCATTCAGACCGTAGGCTGGAGTAATTCAGCCAAACAGATCAAATTAGTATGGCTAGAGAGATGCTGTATCAGATTTTGTAAGTGGTGCCTTTGGTGAGTTGGGGAAAGAGTAACTGGTAGAAAATAAAAAACTTTCTCTTTAAGGAACAGATAATATAATAGCTGAGGACAAGGATGTGTAAAATTCTAGCTTTAAATCTTTCTATTTTTAAATTTTCCTGAACTGATACATTTGTGATTAGAGAAAACTTGTATTTATAAAGATGCAAACATCCATTTGCATTACTTTGATCCCAAGAAAACAGTGGTCATGAGAAGTCCTAGAAAGAAATATGGACATCATCGGCGGTAATGAGAATCACCGCTAATGTTTCCTGAGAGCTCGCCGTGTGCGGAGTGCTTTGCTGGTGTCGACTCTTCAGTCCTTTAAGCCAGAGCTGCTCCTGTAGAAATCTTCCCTGCAAAGTGTCACACTTTAATCTGAAATTAGGGTACACTAGATTATGTTTACAAATAATATTGACATACAAGTGGGAAAAAAGTTTGAGAATGAATTATATACTTAAAAATAACATTCCAAACCTCCGTACAAATATACGTAGCACTTATGTATAAAATGAAAGTTTACAAATAAACTGTCACATTGAATATTTTGATATGCACATACACATATGTACATTTTTACAAGATGAAATAAACTTTATTTTTAAAATAGTTTTAAATTTATAGAAAAATTCTAAAGATATAGTACAGGGTTCCCATACCCCTGCATCCAGTTTCTCCAATTATTAGCAACTTAATTAGTTGCCACATTTGTTACACTTAATGAGCCAATATTAATAATGAACAAACTTCCATATTTTACTCAGATTTCCTTAGGTTCTTTTTTTTATTGATTGATCTTTCAGAAAGAGAGGAAGGGAGAAAGAGAAATACTGATTTGTTGTTCCATTTATTTATGCTTCATTGTTTGCTTCTTGCATGTGACTGGACTGGAAAGAGAACCCACAAGCTTGGTGTATCAGGATGACGCTCATATCAACTGCGCTCCCTGGCCAGAGCCCCTGGGTTTTTATTTAATGTCCTTATTCTGTTCCAGGATCCCATCCCAACATTATATTTGTTCATCTTGTCTCCAGTTTCTCTTGGCTGTGACAGTGTCTCAGACTTTGCTTGTTTTGGATGTTCTTGACAGTTTTGAGGAGTGCTGGTCAATTATTTTGAGGGATGTCACTCAACTGGGATTTGTCTTATTTTCTTCCCCATGACTAGACTGGGGTTATGGGTTTTTTAGAGGACGATCACAGAGATAAAGTGCCATTTTCATCACATTATATCAGGGATACATACTTGATTACCTGGCTGAAATAGTGCTTGTCAGTTTTTGCACCCAAAAGACCACCCTGCATTCTCCCTCTTTTCATACTTTTCTTTTTGAAGTAACTCACTGAGCACGCAGTCCACACTTACAGAGTGAGGTGTCATACTTCACCTCCTTGAAGATGGCGTATTATTGGAAATATTCTGCAGGAGAGATCTGAGTATTCCCATTCCCTGCCCCCTCCATTTATGTACTTAATTATTTACCTATATCAGTATCAACTCATAGATATTTATTTTATATTTTGTGTTATAATCCATACTTTATCTGATGTGTTTTCTTTGCTCAGTAAAATGAGGACAACTTTTGCCCTAGCTGGTGTGGCTCAGTGGATTGAGCACCGGCCTGTGAACCAAAAGGTTACCAGTTTGATGCTGGTCAGAGCATATGCGTGGGTTGCAGGCCAGGTCCTTGGTTGGGGGAGCCAATCAATCAATGTTATTTTTCATACAGTGATCTTTCTCTCTTTCTCTTTCTCCCTCCCTTCCCCTCTTTCTAAAAGTAAATAAAATAAAATAAAATACATGTGGACAACTTTCAAACTCAGTAGAGGTGAACATGATAACTTTTAGAAGTTATATATTAATAGAATGCATTTAATCAGTCCTCTACTGGGGCACATTTTTGCTTTCCCCTTTTCCTCACTTCCAACAATGATGGGATAACATCCTTGTACATTCACTTTTCGGGGAGCACTTGCGTGACTATTCTTAGTTTATTATTCTAAGCCCATCCCTAGGATGCATTATACTTGCTTTCCTCAGTTTGCACTGTTTTCTCTGCCTAGAAAAAATGCTCTTCCCCCATCTCTGCCCACCGAAGTTTCCTCTTTGATTCGTGGCTCAGCTCAAAAGGCTGCTTGCTGTGGAAACTTTTCTCTAGTGTTTCAAATATAATTTAATGGTTGCATTCCACTTCTCTTTGTTGAACATGTATTAAAACACCTCACCTGAGCCTCCTATTCTATCCCAGGACTTTTTCCTACTAGTTCATGAATGGGCACAGGCAGAAATGTGATCAGTCATACTCATCTGTGTACCCGTACCATCACTGCGGTGGGCACATAGAGTAACTACAGAACATTTTGACTTTGGAATGACGAATCCGAGTAACTGAGACATTTAGAAGTGTGCTCAATATTGCACAGCTAATTACTCTTCCTTTCTTTTTTTGCATTGTTGTTCCATGCTTCAGGGAGACAGAGGAGTTGTATATCTGCGTTAGCTTTTAAGTGAAACAATTTTGCTGTAGTTTAACAGTAATGTTTACTAGCTCTCTGTCAGAAATGTTTATTTGAAGATTTTGGTATTATACTCTGTGTCTTCCAAAATGAGCATCTTCAATTCATAGGTAATTGTATATGAATGAAGGAGAAATTAAGCTAATTAAATAAGGAGTCTGACCTTCCGATTCCGTTTTTAAGTAAGCAGGTGGCATAATGTCTCTTACATATTATAATTACTCATTAGAGCTGAATGCCAAAAACACAAGACAAAGAAACAATGGTTGTGAGGCGCTCAGTGAGCTGAGACTAAGGATCCCATCCTGCTGCCCTGTGGACCCTCCGGCCTGCACCTAGAAGACGCTCCTCTGCCGTTAACACTGAGGCCGAGTGACCTACACTTCTGTGACCCCGCCGCACCTGGATCTGCGCTCCTCGGGGCTGGGGGAGGGGGGGGCGGGGGCGGGGGGAGGGAGGAGGTGGGCCCCGCCTCCGCTCTCCCGAAGCCCAATCGCTTGGACACCTTGGGCACGTCCCGCTGACGGCCACGCCCCCAGCCGACGGGGTCCGGGCGTCTTTAAGAGCCGGTGACTGGGCTGCGTAGGGGTGCGGGGCTGCGGACTGGGATTTCGAGTCTCGGACCCCGAGGCATCTCCGCGCAGCCGCTTTCCCCAGGCAGCCCCTGCGCCTTGTGGCGCCCCCCGCCTGCGGCTCCACAGCTCTCGCTTCGGCCTCACTAGCTCGCCCTCCGGGCTCCGAGCAGCTCCTCTGGGAGCCCGCCGGGAACTCCCGCCCCTCGCGCTCCCGCGGCCCCCAACGGGGTCCGCTGGGGCGATGGTGCCCTCCCCTGTGAAGCCCGGCTCCTCGCAGGGGACGAGCGAGACGGAGTCGCTCGGCTCCGAGCCCATGGGGGCTGCTCCGCTGCCCGGCCGGGGACCCTCAGAGGGTCCGGACGCGGCCGCCGAGAACGTGGAGGTAGAGTTGGCGGGGCCGGCGGGCGCCGAGCCCCCTCAGCCTCCCGAGGGCGGCTGGGGCTGGTTGGTGATGCTGGCGGCCATGTGGTGCAACGGGTCGGTGTTTGGCATCCAGAACGCCTGCGGGGTGCTCTTCGTGTCCATGCTGGATACCTTCGGGTCCAAGGACGATGACCAGATGGTCTTCAAGACAGGTGAGGCGCAACGCCCGCCGCGGCCAGCCCCGGGGGACAGGCGCGCTCCCCCCACGAACGCATTCCGCGTGCCAAGTGTGGGTCCACGCCCGTGTGTGCACCGCGGAGGGTCCCCGAGTGCTTAGGTGTATGGGCGCTTCTCTTATGGGTGAGGGTCGCTCTGTGTTAAATACAGAACGCACAGGAGGCAGCCAGATTAGGGATTGGGAAGAGGGAAGGTGAGGGGTTACATTTTCCTGTTGTGTTGTCATACTTAACGATTTACCAAACTAGATAAAAAAGGTGAAACTCAACGTCGGGTGGGGGTTGTAGAGCGTTATTGTGTGATCTCTTGACTGATTAGGTAAAAAACAAGTCCAAGACCTTCTCTGTAACTCATTTACGTGCATTATTCACTTTATCCTGCAAGGCGGCGTTGTCAACCCCATTTAGGTCAGCAAACTGGCGCTTGGTGAAATCAAGTGTCTTGGTGAGTAGCAGAATGGAGATAGAAGACACATCTTATGACTGAGGGCCAGGTGATTTATTTCCATTATTAAATCAGACTCCCTCCCTGGCACTTGGGGAACTTTATATGATAATATAAATATGATAATAGTCTTTTTTTAACTTTATTTAAAAAATTTTTGAGTGGCTATTCCTTGGGTTTTTAGTGCCCATATAATGAATATGTAAGACTGCTATAACAAATTCTAAGGCAGAGATAATGTTGAGAGTTTTAAAACCTTATAAGTATCAATAGTGTTACATGTATCATTCTGCAGTTTGCTTTCTTTTACTGTCTCATGTGTGCGATTTATCCATATAAACCTCAGTTTGAGCTGGTAGCTTAAATTTTTTGTTTTAACTCATAGTTTTTCATTATATGCTATATTATACTTTATTTATGCATTGTCCCTTTAATAGACATTTAAATTATTTCCAAACTTACTATAAACAATGCCGCAATGAATATTCTTGTATGTACACTGTCTCCTTGGGTGTGTGTTAAATAAGGTACCATATTTACCCTGGAATTTCTGTTCCATAAATAGCTCTTGAAGCTGCTGTGTTATGCAGGTCACAGGGCTAGGTACAAAAGTGTTAAAAGTGTATTTTTATTTTGTAAGGAAGGCTATCATTAAAAAGTTTAGCAGGATGTATATGCATATGTAATAGTAAACACATAATGTTGTGTCTTTTCTATATGAGTATCAGGTGTCTGGGAGGGAAAAGCTCAAGGAGGCAGAATCGACAGTGTTACCATTTTAAGACTAGTTCCTTCATCATTTAGCATATTCTTGTCTGGGATTACAGATTTTTAATGCAGTCAAAACAACAAGACAACAGCCTTTCATATACTACTTGTTTTGAAAACTCAGGTAAGTTAATTCATTGGTGTCTGTGGGTTTCCTTTCCCTCCCTCCCTCCCTCCCTCCCTCCCTCCCTCCCTCCCTCCCTCCCTCCCTCCCTCCCTCCCTCCCTTCCAGATAGTGAGCAACTGCTGGAGAAAGACCATAGTTTTGCTGGGGATCAGAGTTTTGCAGTGTTGAAGCCTCTACCTACCAAGTTCCTACTGGTTACAACATCCCATTACTGGATAGCTAAAAGTGAGGAAGGGGGACAGGACTTGCTCTCTTGACTTTTTTGAAACTCCATATTTTCAGTTTTACATCCTCCGTTTACTCAGTTATTTCCTTGACAACTTTCAGTCATGTCGGAGGATGTGTGTATGTCATATAAACAATTACACAGGCATGCCAGTCAGATACTGAAGATCTTTGTGCTTGTCTTCATGACTGCTGTGCCCTTGCACAGAGGTGCCCACTTCAGGATTAGTGGAGACAGAAAACCAGCCTGTGCTCTAGTGGCCTTTATCTAATTCCTGCAGAGGGGCCTTTTGCATTTGTGATGGCCCTGTGCAATAGCAGCTTGATTGAATGTTGGCCTTTTTTGGACACTGTGTAATACATGTACAACAGATGCATTTTAAGATAGGAGGAGGAAAACAGATTTAACCTTATCTGCGAAAAAAGTGCGACAAGATAGTTATTGGGCCACTTAATGTTGAGGTACCCCTTCTCCCCTCCCCAACAGGTGTTTCATAGAGTCTATCATTTATAAAAGGCACTGAAGTATTTGAGAATAACTGCTTTGATGTTTGGCTTTTCTGCTAATGCAGAGTCATCTGTGCTTGAATGCATGCAAGTTTAAATACAACACAGAAAATATCTAGACCTGTTCAGAGCTTTTATTTTTAAAAGTTTTGGTTCATTTTCTGTTATCTTATTCATGATTGATAATCTCAGCATTTGAGGGCAATTAATTGTCTCCATGTTTTCATTGGCTGTTTCATGGTGATTAGTCCAAGGATACCTTGGGAGGTTGTGGTAAAATGGGAACTCAGGTTTTCAAATGATGCTTCATATTTCTGAGAACTTTCTGTTTGCCAGTCCAGTGCTAAGCACTTTACATGCATTCCTATTTAAATCTTACTGCAGTCCCATGGGGTAGGTTTTACTTGATATCTTTCTTTTCAGATGTGGAAACTCAGGTTTGCAGACTTTAAGTAAGCAGTGGAGCCAGGATTCAAATTCAGATTTATCTGATTCTAGAAGCTGGGTTTTTAACAATTGATCATATTGCGTTGACTCGATAACATTCTGCTAATACAATGTTCTTTATGTTTTTGGTTAATTTAAGCATTAGCAATTGATTGAGTACTACACCAGGAATTCTGGTCTTAGAAGAGAAATCTGGCCCTGGCTGGTATAGCTCCGTGGACTGAGCGCCGGCCTGAGAACCAAGGGGTCACCAGTTCTGTTCCCAGTCAGGGCACATTCCTGGGTTGCTGGCAAGGTCCCCAGTAAGGGGCCCACTAGAGGCAACCACACATTGATGTTTCTCTCCCTCTCTCTAAAAATAAATATATATAAAAAAAATGAAATCTGAAAGATCAGGATCTCTGTTCTTCCCCCCTCCAAAACAAACAAACCCTTTATTTAAATACAGTGGGAAAATAAACTATAAAAGTAGCCACGTTTGCGAAGTTACAGCCTCGATAAGTGACAGGCCTTAGACACAGCACTGGGCTTATCAGCTCTTCTGTGCTGGAGAAGCTGGTTCAGCAGAGATTCCATTGGGTCAGACGTGGTTTCCTGATTCTTAAGATGTGGTCAAATAACTCAGTCCCACGAAACACAAAATACCCTTCTGAAACTACGAAGGGTTCTGTGTTTTGTTTAGTTTTTTACTCCTGACCCTAACCTATCCCTGAAGTATCCTGGGTTCTGGAATCTGTGAGATTCTTCTAGTTCTTCTGGATACTCAAAAAATCTGAAAGATCAGGGTCCCTGTTTCTTGATCTTACTTGGCTGTTGATAAACAATTGCCAGTTGTTAATGTCTCATGGAAATAGATTTTTGAAGTGTGGAGAAACAAGATAATTTCACATGCCACTCAAACAAAAGGCTAGGGTTTCCGTTGAAGACCCACACGCTCCTCTACCACAGCAGGACAGTGTTTCTAGGAAGAGGTGAAGGGCAGCCTTTCTCAGGCTCACTTCTCAGTTTCATGGCTCTCTTGGCTCTAAGGTAACTGATAATCCACCCCAAATTTCTTAGGAAAAGGCCTGAAGACATTCAGGCACACTAAGATATAGGTGAGTTTACACGTCCTAATGTTACTCCTCATCCATCCTCCAAGTATCATTCATTACCGAGTATCTGACACCTCTGTGCAGGCCACTGGAGTTGGGAACTGAGAGAGACGGCTGTTCCCAGGGAGCTTTAGATCTGCTTTGGGACACAGACAAGTAAAAAGACAGACAAAATACTTTCCTGACACTTGCAATATCCAGGACCCAATCTTGTTTTAAAAGGCTGAAATTCCAGGGGATGGTGGGGGCTGGAAAAGGCATTTAATGACCTCTTTCTATATGGTAATAAATATCACTGTGTGAAATTAAGACTTTGGAAAGGGAATCAAATGGAACTGCAAATTAGGCAGTAGAACCAATGAAAAATGTTGAGGACATCACAGCCCCATTGCGGGGACGCGGCTGGCAATGACAGAGTGCTCAGAGGTTCACCTTGCACCTGCTGCTGGGTCAGTTAATATCTGTAGAGGGAGCAAGCTGAGCTTGAGTTGTCTCTTTTCAGTTAAGTATTTACTTATTCATATGTGCATGCTCTTGCCTGTGTGGTGGGGAATCAGACACTTTTGGGACTGATTCCCAAAAGTGTCTGGTTAAAACAGAGACTACAATTAACTGGAACGTTGTTTCCTCTTAGAAATAGCAACTTGCCTTAACTTAGCTCTATATTCAAGAACTCATTTTTAGTTCCTTCGTGGAACTGAGAAATAGTGTAGGGTTTTTCATTCTCCTAATGCAGTGCCTTGAACAGTCTCTGGGATTTTACTAGGGTATTAATTTAGTAATACCCCTAATCCTAGGGTATTCATTATTTTCTTTCTGCTTTTTTCCTGCAGAAAGAAAAATGTTTTACTGGTATATGGACTTTAAAAACATACCTATTTAAAACAAGTGTGTTTTCAGAATCAGTATTTAGGGTAGTTAATGATATCCTTTTGAAGAAATTATGTCTTTGTGGTCCAGAAGCTTGGTCAAGAAGACCCTACCTCTTTCTTTAGTGATTCCCCAAATGTGTTCTTTAATAGCCTTTCTTCCTTCCTTCCTTTCTATTTTATTTTTAGAGAGAGGAAGGGAGGGAGAAAGAGGGAGAGAAACATCAATGTGTGGTTGCCTCTCATGCACCCCCCCACTGGGCACCTGGCCTACAACCCAGGCATGTGCCCCAACTGGGAATCAAACCAGTGACCCTTTGGTTCAGAGGTTGGTGCTCAATCCACTGAGCTACACCAGCCAGGTAATAGACTTCCTTTAAGTTAGAGGTTTGTGGTTAAATAAGTGTGAGAAACACAGCACATTATCCTCCTCTTGGATATTTATAGTAGAAAACAAGTACAGTATTAAAAAATTTAATAGTTTTAAAGAGAAG